TGAGCACCTGTTGAATGAATGCATGCCAGGGTTCAAGTGTTCTTCATTTCCACTGAAATCAGAATGAGAACCAAGACTTAGAGCTTAGAGCTGTGGGGGTCTAGGATAGATGTGAGGAGTGAATTACCAAGGATCAGCTGGGGTTTTTTTTATTCCCCATGTGCACACTCTCAATACTCACCCCCTCCAACTCTGTGACCTCTTAGGGAAATTCAGTTCCAAAAACCTAACTAAGGTGTAGGTGTTATGCCAGGTGTGAGGGTAGCTATGAGTAAGGCACCGTTCCTGACCACACTAGAGGTCAGATGTGAAAACTTTTGAACTACAAGGCAAATCAAATAAGGACTTCTCCAAAGAAATGATTATTTCTGATGTTTGAGTAAAGCTTTGAGAGGCAAATTCGATATCCATGGGCAGAGGGAGGGGCCTGCCAACTTGAGAGATCGGCACAGTACATGTTCACGGTAACTCTCTATTCTAGCAGCTACCATTGATGTGCCACCCAACATACTGCACATTTCTCATGTGTCCCCTCATTTCTTCTCTAACCCTGTGCAGGAGCTGGATAGCTTTCTCTCTTCTTACAGTGAAGGAAACCAAGGCTCAGGCAGTGAAGCAAATAGCGCACAGCTGCAAGGACTTGTCAGGTCCCCAGTGGTGTGAACCCAAGGCACCAAGCTCTGAGAGAGGGCAAGCCATGTGCAAGGAAGGGGGACAGTGCCTGATGGGAGTGGTGGGAAGAGCAGGTGGAAATGGGGGTTAGGACACAGACATGCACCTTAAATCTCTGCTCGGGACTTGGACTGGGTTCTGTGAGCAGGGAGCCTATGGTGGGGGAGCGGGGGGTGGAGGAAAGGAGTGCTATGGTCCAGCAAGTGCTTCAGGAAGGTCTCTCTGGCAGCAGGAGCAAAGTAAAAAGGCTGTTGGCAGGAAAATCAGTTAGACAACTATTGCGATAGCGCGGGAGAGATGATGAGGCCTGAACTGGGGCAGCGGCAGCAGATGCAGGGGATGGATGAGATGGACAGTGCGGAGGCAGGTTGTGTAGGAGGCCTTGACTTGGATACCAGGTAAAGGAGAGGGAGGGAGGGATGATGTCTGTTGGGCCTCCAGCCCCGCCCGGAAGTGAAGAGGAGGAGGTGGAACAGGTCAGGGGATGAGACCAAATGAAGTTATTTTTAAACACATGGTTTGAGGGCCAGGCCTCTAGAGAGTGGTCAGGGTTGGAGATGGTGCTTGGGGCAAGGGAGCAGAGGCAGTGCCTATGGGAACGGGGGATCTCTGTGCTGCCTTTGGTACCCCATATTCATCTGCCTTCACTGTGGTACGGAAGATTCCACTTCTCCCTGACTTTGTGTACTCCATTTCACTTCATAATCCTTGCAGTAGCTGTATGAGGAGGTGTCATCCTTATGTACGTATGAGGACACCGAGTGAGCAAGATTGGATAACATAGCCAAGGTCTCACAAGAAAAGAGTGGCAGAGTCAGGATTTGAACCCAGGTCTGATGTCAAGGCACCTTTCTGCTCTGCCATAACAAACCCTGAGTCAGGATTAGAAAATGGTAGAGGGTTGCAGTGTGGACACCCACCTGTTTATGTCTTCCACCTCCCTGATGCTAATGGTTCATGCTGAAAACTTTGATTTTTCCTGGCCACAGAGATACTGAAAGGGACATGGAAAATACCTATGAGCATGCAGGTGGCACTGGCTTATTTTCCATGATGTCCTAAGGCCTTAGCCTCATCAAGTTGGACTTTGCTGCCTATGGCCACGCCATTAGGAAGGGCAGCCTCGGCCCCGAGCTCACTGGCCCAAGTGCATTCCCTCATAGATGGTGAGCTTGCAATATATCATCAAGCCAAAATCAAGACTGCACTGTGCTCGCTTCAGCAGCACATATACTAAAATTGGAAGACGGCATGGGAAATGTAGAGATGGAACCTAGTTCACTTTTAGGTTCAGATTTAGGACCTCTTCCGTCTTCCGATATTTGATGTAAAGGTCATCGTGCTAAATTGAAAGACAAAGTTACCATCAACTGAGCACACCCATCGAGACAAACACACATGACCTTCTTATTGTCTGATCCTTTTTCTAGGCAAGGGGTCCACCTTACAAAGTGTTGGAAGGAGGCCAGGGGTGGTGCTCCTTGCTGGTGCTCTGTGTGCTAGATGGTTCTGCCCCTCTCTGCCTTTCTCTCTCTCTCTCTGAAAATATAAAGAACCTGTGAGTGAGAGAGGTGAGGTGACTTGCTAAAGGCGACACCATTCATGGATGACCCTCGTCTCTGGGCTCCCCTTTAGCTATGTTCCCCATGTCACAGGAATACATGGATTATGTCCAGGAGAGAAGAGGAGGAGGTGGTCTTTTCTAGCATTTCTGTGTTCTTTGCTGTACTTCACAGGACAAGCAGAAACAAAGTAAAGCCATCTGGGCCCTGTAATATGAGCCTGCAATGTCTGTCACTTACAAGCTGGGTGACCTTGGGCCAGTCACTTCATCTCCTGTACCTCCACTTTCTTACCTCTAAAATGGGAGCATAATAGTACCTACATCTTAGGACTTGCTTAAAGTATGGAATCAGACAATGCAGGGCACATAGTAAGTAGTCAAGCAAATGTTGCTGCTATTATTATTATTAATGCCATTAGCCACAATGGCAGTCCTATGACTGAACGATGTGAGGAGGGAGCTCAGAAGACCGGTCAGGCTCTGGTGGTCTTCCCTCCACTGCCCGCCACTGGCCTAGAACGGTCTCCCTGGTGAACTTGTCCCTTGCCACAGCTGTGTTTGGGCACAGGGGTCGGGACCTCGCTTGTGTGGTTTGGAACTGAAAGCTGCCCCTCCCTGCACAGTTGGTTTCTTTGCTCCATGCGAAAGGACCTGCCACCTGAAACACAACACTAATCTTTTCAAATAATGTCTCGATAAGACTCTCTCCTTGGGTAGCAGGGTCCAACCTGTGTTTTGAAAGCAGTGATCCAGATGCTGGGATGGTGAAAGAAAGAGCCCTCTGTCCAGAGCCCGTCTGCACAAGGTGACTCATTCCTGTGTCACATGTTTCTAAACTCTCCTCGCCATCCCCAGAGTTTTCCTAATCCCGTCCGGCCAGTTCCGCCACAAATTCCTCTGCAGCTTTGCCTGACATTGTCTGAACTGAGTGTCACTCGAGTCTGTGAGCTGGGGCAAATGTGAAGTGTCACCTCCTCCAAAAGCAACCATGGCCTGTCTGAGGGCTGGCCTCCCTGTGCTGGGGCGATGGCGGATGCCCTGGCTGCTTTCTGCATTTATGGATATTGACACGAGGGCGGGCTTGTGGTCTCCTGGCCTCCCCCCTGCTCCTACAACCTTTCTTCCTAATCAGTTCTTACCCTGCAACCAGCATCTTCACCAGGCTGTCAAAACCTCTTGCATTTGAAAAGCCTGTTAAAGCCATAAAACGTTGCAGTTTCTGCTATGCAGTTAAGATCCGGGCATGTTTGCAGATAAAATTTAATGTTGGGATGTAATTCCTGAGGAAAGAGGTCTTAAAACCTGTACCAGCAGGTCCTGGGTTCCATGTGACCCATTTACACACATGTTCATGCCTACGTGGCTGCTCCAGGGGTATCCCCTGTGGACCGCATGCTGAGCTGCGGGATTCTCGCCTTCTAGGGACTACCCACCACTACCTGAGCTCCTCGCTCTGTCCCTCACAACCCCAAAGCATGGTAGGAGAGGAAGGGGGATCCTAGCTGCCCCCCAAACACCCACACTCCTTTCTGCATCTCTCTTGCCTGACTCCTCCTTCTCCTGCCTGCATTTGTTCTTTACCCATAAGCCTTTCCTCACCACCACCCTCTCTAACTCGAGGGCATCCTTCATCCAAAGGACCTGCTGCAATCTCTCTCCATCCTCCCTACATCTCCCTGACACCAAAACCTCACCTTCACCCCCTATGTAGAAAACCTGGCTTAGGGGACCCAAAAATGGATGAGATGTGGAGCTCTTGATGTTCTCGAAGGACAGCGAGCTGATCGGCACAGTGGAGTGGGTAAGAAGAGCCTGGAAGCAAACACTGGCTGTGACAGAGGCCAGAGCCGGGCATGGTCCCCTCCGCCGTGTGACCCAGCACCAGAGCTGAGTGTCCACAAGGAGACAGCCACAGGCTGATGAGTGGGAAAGGATGGAGGGTGTCCCCTGCTGAAGGCACAGCCCAGGTCCCCATCCCGTGCATGAGTGAGTGGCTGCACAGAGGGGTGGGGGTGGGCTCCCTGCTTGTGGTCCAGGGGAGATGGGGGCCCAGCACCTCTCAACAGCATTTCCCGTTGGCGCCCCTGTGTGTGGGTTTCGCGATGGCTCCATTATGTGTACTCACGAGATTAAAAGCCTCGCCTCTCCCGACATTCTTTCTGCTGGAACTTCTTATTGCCTTTCTAACAGCTGAGTTGTAAGCATTGCAGCCCTTGTCTTTCCTGGAGGGCAGTCTGGTTCCCACTCTGCGTGGGGTGGGGGTGATCAGCCTTTCAAAAGGCTTTCCTTCCGTTGTGAGTGGTTTTCCCCTCACCAATCTCCCACCTTTTTTTTTTTAAGTCCATAATCCAGGGATTCCCCTCTTTGGAACTATTTAAACAGACATGGGATGCTGGCAGGAGCCACTTAAAAGGATTCCTGCCCCAGAAGGTGGCTGTCTGGGTGGTCTGTGGCAGGAGAGGTCCAGCTTTGAAACTCAAGCGAGAGGTGCCTGCGGCTTCGGGCCACAAGCCTCTGTCTGAACTGTGCCTTGTCTCCCTGCAGTCAGTGGGCGTGGCAGCTGTCCCAGGGCCGTGCTCTCCCCACACAGGTGCTCCAGGCAAGGATCTCCTGTTCTCTGATGAGCCTCAGTGGCCACATGTTTCTGGAAGGCCTTCACAGAGCCAGGCTTTCCAAGCACAACCAGGGGTGCCGGAGGTCTGGACACCTGGGCTTACGTAGATTGGCAGTCAGGGGTCTGGACGTTCACACCCTCGCCCCTCAGGAGACCTTGCTCGCAGAGGGAGAATTGGAGGCCATCGAAATTCCCAAGAGGCAACAGATGTGGCCTGTAGAACAGAGGTTCCAGCTTCGATGCCAGACCTGCTGAATCTGTCGTTTGGACTCATTTCGGAGGCTGTAACTGGTGAATACATACCTACCAATGTGTCGTGACAGGCTGTGGTCGGAAGGACTATTGTGTGTGTGGTAATTAAATGCTGTCTTGGGCAGAGGAGTCGGACAGACTTGAGTTTGAATTGGGCTGCAGGAGCTTGGGCACATTTCTTAACCTCTCTAAGCCTCCGTTTCCTCATCTGTAAAACCACATGTTTCCACAGGCTGGACCAGAAGGCCGGGGGCGGGGAGGTGCCTGTATTGTGGGTTATTCTGAGGACCCCATAAGACAACCCATGTAAAAGTGCTGGACAGGAACTGGCACCTGCCCACTAAGTTATACCCACCCATTTGAGAAGTGAAAGATGTGACCCTACTTTTTTTGGTCTGGGACCTTCTTAGGGAGCTCACCACATAGTGAAGGGAAAGCAGAGGCCTCACCTTTCATCACAGCCTTAGCTGGGTTGTGCCTCAATCAGGTTTACAGAGAGAGAAGCCCAGCGCACTAAGAAGCTGCTCTCCATGGAACTAGCCGTCTCACATTGCTCAAATTTTGAATCAAAACCCAGCGTCTTTCATCTGTGGGACAAGGTGGGTTTGCAGACTCTGATTAGTTCCCAAAACACCTATGTCACAGCTCTCAGAGGAGGAACAGAGAGGGCAAGTAACGTGCCCCAAGGCTGAGGGGCGGCCCTTCCCCAGCCCTGGAGAGTTAGCGATGCTTCTGCTCTGTCCTGGCTGCAGTTGGACGATATTTGCTTTCTTGTCTTGGTTTTGCTTACACAGAGGTTGACATGGAGCCCAGGAACTGGACTTTCGCTAACTTACGGAATATGGGCCCAGGGAAGGAAGTGGCAGGATAATTCATCTGGTCAGGGACAGTTTGTGACTGGCCAGTGGCACTGCTTGCAGAGAGGTATGCAAAGCATCCCCGGTTGTTATGCTACTACTATAGGTCACTGGCTGGCTTTGGCCCTGAGTGGTTGGTGGCGGTGCCAGCAAAGTCAGTGTGACAGGTCCCAGCTGACAGTGTGGAACCACTAAGACTTCTGGCTCTGGCAGGAAAGCCTCCCTTCAGTGCTTGGTGTGCGGATTACAAACTGAGCCTTTTACATATGTCCAGGGAGCCTAGGAGCTGTGCTCCCAAAAGTAGTGTCTATTGAGCAGCACAAAAGAATTGCATAGGGAAGACAGGATGATTTTACTCATCTTCTCTTCTTGTTCCAGCCCAAATAGCTGGTCCAGGCCTCCGTAGGAGCCTTCGGGAAAGGCCTGAAGGAGAGCTGTGAGCATGACTGCTCTTTCTGTTCCAAACGTGTTTCTCCACTGAGTGTCAAGGCTTCTTTGTCTATCCCCCGAGTGGAAGAAGATACAGACCTCACACGCATGGTGGGGTTTGCCGTGCCCTGTGCAGTGCGGGGGTGGGGGGTGGGGGGGTCACAGTGAAGAACTGGGCTTGTTTTCGGCATGACTCGATTCATCTACCTTCCAGGCTAACCCTCGGTGGCCCGGACTCTGCGCGGCCACCGTGGCATCTTTTGCATTTCAGTTTTAGGAAGTCATTGTAGTAACTCAGTTCATGCTGATTGCATAACTCGTACGAGGTTCCTTTTTCATTGGAAACTTGCTGCAGTGTTTCCAGAAACCTCTGCTACTGTAACATCTGGGCACCCAAGGTCATCCGTTGACAGGGGTGGCTTCATGGGCATGTGACTTGTGTAGCCGCAGTCTCACGCTCAGAGGGCCCTGAGCAAGGGGTTGGTGCTGCGGCTGCAGTCCTGAAATTCTTGATAGTTTTACCTTTAAATTTGTACCTCATAAGTGAAGTCCAGTGGGACAATGGAGTGTGCACAGGGGCATGTGATCCCACCTCCTGCTTCCCCTGGTGGGATAGGGACACAAAAATGGTTGAGGTTAGGTGCATGCAGCCACGGCATCTCAGGACAGGGCTTGGTGGCAGCTGTCCTCATGATGGTCAGTGGATGACTAGAGAGGCATGAGCCTGTCCCCTGTCCCTGATTCGGGTACCTAGTACATCCTGGAGCAGAGGTTGTAATACCCTTGGGGTCACCTGTCCACCTCTGGTTGGGGCTCCTGGCTTTTAGAAAGAAGAAACAACTGACTAGACTTTCGTGCCTCTACCTGGGTCACTGCATATCCACCTAGATACTGCTGGAAGGGATACTGCCAGTCGGTGGCCGCACGTGCCCTTGCACACTCCGTCGCTGGGGCCCCTGTGCCTGTGAGGGGCTCTGCTCACCTTGCAATTATCCCCATACTTCAAAGGCAGAAGTGACATATAGCAAATAAAAGATATCATGACATGCACAACAATGTACTTAATGCCCCTGAACTCTACCCTTTAAATGGTTAAAGTAATAAATTTTATATATATACATTACCACAATAAAAATATTTATATGGTATAAACAAAAATAAGAACCATCATGACAGGTGGAAAGAGAGAGACCATGGAAGAAAGAAAAAGGCTTTCTGTTTAGTACTTTTAATGGCACAGTGTTCCTGCTCTTAGAACAAGGGTCCTGCATTTTCATTTCTCACTGAGCCCCCCAAATGATGTAGCCAAGCCTGCCTATGGCCGCCTTGTAAAACTACCCAGTCTTTACCTTTCCAGAAAGAATCCTGCCCTCAAATCCTGCAAGGCACGTGCTGCTGAGCTGACTCTTATCTCTCTCTCTCTCTTCTTCCCCCACAGGTCTTGTGTTGGCTGTGTGTCAGGCGCTGGAGAACACTACATCTGCCTTGAGTGGTGAGTCCTGTCCCCTCAGCCCCTTGGTGTGGGATGGCACATGGGGGATGGGCAGGGAGCAGACCTTGGGCAGTTTGTGGAGCCTGAGGTCTAAGCTTCCCTCTGGGGCTCCTGCTGCTGTGCTCACGCCCAGCTGTGCCCTGAGCGCTCTCTGCTTGGCCTCCCATGGGCCAAGATTGTGCTGCTGGGAGATCTGAACTGCAGACCTGAGGGAGCTATTTCCCTGCTCGCTCAGGGCTCACCCCCTCCCATCTCTCTGTTCAGACAGTCATTGTGGGCAGGGGTGCTGGAAAACAGCCTGCAGGCCCTGAGAACTTGAAACTAGCTCATCTAATAGTCCACCTAAAGAAGAGCCCAGATTCCTGAGCCCTTGTGTCTGCCTCCGCCTGGTGATCTTTGGTTAGTTATGCTCTGGTTTGTCGTTTGTAGTAACATTTCCCTTGTTTCATTTTAAAGACCCTAGAGAAACCGATTGAAAAGTTTGGGAAATGGAGGAGGCTAACCGCTCATGGTCAGAGCGCTGCAGAAGCAGCCCCGTGACATTCGCACATCACTTTTGTCTATGTGCACTAATAGTGAGGCATAGTGAGGAGACTATTTTGATTCCTGCTTTTTGAACTCAAGGTTTGGAGTTGTGTGCTTTTCCATGTTTCGAGAAGCTTCTAAATTTTATCCTTTTAAAATATCACGATGTTCCATTAAAATGGGCACGTGTAATTGAATTAAGTATTCCCCATTACATAGTTATGTTGCCTTCAGTTCAAGTTATGATGCTACATTTTTATGCCTAGAAGCTTTTCCCTTATTTTGGATACTTTCCTTAGGATATATCTTCAGGAGCAAGAATAAAAATATTTATGATCCTTGGTACAAATGGCCAAGCCACTTTCCAAGTGAATTTGAGCTGATTTTTATACCAGTAATGCACGAGTCTGTCAGCTTCACAGTTCCCTCACTGGCATGGGGGATGCTCCCGTCTGTTACTGCAGTGACCCTCTGACCTGTCTGTGTCTCCCTAGTTATTTCAGGTCAATGTCGGTGTGTGTGTGTGTGTTTCACCCTTGGCTAATTCAATATGTAAAACCATTTTTAATGTTTACTAAGGAAACATTCATACTAGAAGAGAAATGGTAGTGAAATCAATCCCCAGATACCCATCACCCAGCTTCAACAATTAGCATCACTCTGCTATTTTTCTTTCATCTATTCTCTCATCTTTCTTATTTTTCCCTTTGCTGGGATATTTTAAAGCAAAACCCACTTATGAATATTACTTTTATCTAACGGATAAGGACTTTTCAGAGCAAAGCCACAGTCCATTACACCACAAAAGCAACAATGAGTCTTTTTTTGTTAGATTCTTAAATATGGAGGGTAGATGACGATGCTTTCAATTTTGTGACCCTTCATTTAATTTGCATTTTCTTTAATGGTTTCATATTTTGCTTTCTACTTATATTACCTTTCAGGTGAACACTGTTTTTTTGTAAAACGTGCTCATTTATATACTGCGTGACTGACTTTCATGTCTGAATTCCTCCTAAACTCTTATCCTCTGGATGTTGGCGGGCTCATTTACTGAATCCCAGACTGTCCACTCAGGTGTAAAGATGGGTCTCTGCACTCTGAGCATTGACAGGAATGAGAAACAATAGCGGATATAAGAAGGGTTTGGTACATTCCCGAATGAGTGCTGGAGCAGGACTGCCGGCATACTCGGGATCAAGCTCAAACACTTCGATGGAGCAGCATGGAGAGAAAATTGCAAACTCCATGTGCCAATCAAGGTGGTACCTGAGCTTAAAGGAATAGGGGAGGATCCCATGTGGCTTTCTCGTAATTCTCGTGGGGGAAAAATTCCATGTTCTTATTACTTGACAGTTAACCTTGGCTTGTCTCACTGAGGTTTCACTGATTTCTTCCAGTCTTCCTCTCTTTTAGATCCCCAAATGTGCAGGGCAGATTAAGCCAGAGGCATAGGAAACTGACATTATTGTCATCAATAAATGCTTCTCAGACATCTGCTTTGGGTGGGAGTTGGAGGGATGCGTGCCTTGGGCTGGAGGTCAGGAATCCTGGGAGTTGGGCCCAGCTGGTCTCAGTTTTACCAAGTCCTGGAGCAAGTTATTATTCTGGCACCTATTTGGATCTTAGTTTCCTCATTTGTTGGACTTGCGTCAGGGACGGCCTGTAAGATTTTACACATGACCATTCTAATGAATTGGTGGAGACTCCTTGGAAAGCTTTGTTGAGAAGGATTATTAGGCTACCTTGGGGCTGTTAGGAAATACAGGGGTGATCCATAGGCAATTCCTGCCTTGGACCCAAGGTAGGGAAGTGATAGTGTGACTGTCATGTATTTAATTCTCTTAGAACCAGACGCTATTTTACACTCGGGTTTCAAGACTCTCTTGCTGAAACTAGACAGTCCTTCTCTGTCCTTGTCCTCAGAGGGCCCACCATACAGGTGAAAAGACAGCATGGGAACCCATGAGAGCCTCATCATGACCTAAGGCTACACAGGAGTGAAATCAGTAGTCCGGGGGTTAGGACAAAAAATTTTATCTGGTTGGTTGTCAATTTGTAAAGTATGCAGAGAAACATTAGCTGGAGGCAGGGTGAGGGTGACAGCACCTACGGCTGAGAACATCTGTCACACCCTCCCGGGGAAGGAGTTATGACCTGTCTTCAAAAAGCACCCTTTAATGTCCCTTAAAAGGGACAGAATGCACCCGGCTAAGTTGTTGGGTGGCTCCTTGCTTAACCCTCCTAAATGTTGCACAGTGCTCAGGCTGCCCATCTGGTTCTCATGTTTTCATGAGACTCGCTCTAATGACCGAGGGGTGTGGTGAGGGCCTCGCTCAGGCACCTGGGAGCCAGGCTCCAGGCTTCCCTCTGCTATCTGTCTTGCATGATCACGGTACTCAGGGCGGTTCTTTAAACCTCTGAACTACTGCTCCTTCCTCTAGCCTGTGTCTAATCCACCCCCATGGAATCGGGGAGTGTTTGAAGGCTTGCTTAATTTAGTGTCAGTGCTGATGATGAAAGAACACGGAAAATTCACAGAGGTGTCACTCATGGGGAAGGTCACCATTAGCAGCTTGCTTGAGGAGGTGGTAGTCAGATTTTGATGGTGACATTAGGCTTAACTATGTTGAGAGGGCGAGTTAGGGCTGGAGGTGCATAGGGGGAGGGCAAAGCCGATGATAGGAAAAAGTCTTGGAAGGTGTTACTTGTTGGGGAAACAGGTAGAACATGGGTCAGACGGCAAGCCAGGGATCTGTTTATTGCTCATCTTGCCAAACAAAAGCCTCTCAGAATGCAAACTGCTTCCCCATTCCATTATCTGGAGTTTTCCCATGTAGAGCTGCAGTCATTCTAAAATTAGAAGGCTCACGTGTTCTACCCAGGTACATGGTGCACTGGTCCAATGTGTCTTTAGCACAAGAGACTTGGTGTGTCTTAGTTTGGGAATAAAAGCATATATATCTGTGTGTGCCAGGACTTGCTTCCATGCTTAGAGGAATGTAGAACCTCAGAGAAGGAGGGTCGCTCCCTTCTGCTCTAGGATTTATCCTTGTCATCCAATTCCTCATTTTAGCTTCCTTTTTTTCCCCAAATATGTTTTTATTGATTTCAGAAAGAGGACGGGAGAGGGAGAGAGGGATAAGAACATCAATGATGAGCTAGAGGCTACGCAGTGATCACTGATCGGCTGCCTCCTGCACGCCCCCTACTGGGGATTGAGCCCACAATTTAGGCATGTGCTCTGGTTGGGAATCGAACCATGACCTCCTGGTTCATGGGTCGATGCTCAACCACTGAGCCACACTGGCCGGGCTACCTTCCACTTTTTGCAAAGGAAACTGTGCTGGGTCAGAAGGAAGGTTGCTCAGGGTAGTAGACAGGCCAGAGGATATGGAATCAGGGACCATAGTTCTGACTCACTAGCTGGGTGACCTTAGTGGAGCCCTCTTAAATCGCCCTGCACCTCGGTTCTCCCATCAACAAGATTAAGGAGTGGCATTAAGGCATTGTCTTTTCAAGCTGTGAGTCACGAAGTCACTTTAGTGGGTCATGACCAACTGTTTTTATGCAATTGAATAGCTTAGAATAGAAAATTTTGGAGTGCATTATATGAAGAAAGGACCAGTATTGTTCCAGGAGGCTCTTGTTTTCATTATTGATGGATTCTTATATTGACATTCAGCATCATTTTATTTGTAGGAGCTGTACCCATATTACACCTTTATAATTTCCAGATTTTATTTCTTTAGTGAAGGAACTTACACACTTGCAGAGTAAGTGCCATAATCCTTCTAGACCTGTATATTTTCACACACACACACACACACACACACACACACACATACCCACACCTGGTCTCTAGTTCTTATTTATTCCTAATTTCACAGTTATTTTCATCTACTCACCTTTATCAAGAAAGACTTCCCAAGCATTCAACTTATCATAGAAACCACAGCTCTTTCCTTATGAAAAGGCATTTCATTAGTTTACGTAATAAGTAATTAAATTACGTAAATACAATAATGAGTGCAACTGACAAACAGACTTGGAAATAAACACAAATGTCCTTTGGTAAATAGACAGCTTACCTGGTAAAAACAGAAATGGGCTAGAAAACTAGAGTAGCCAACTAACTGAGCTAAGGGTCTAGACAAGGGGTGGGCAAACTTTTTGACTCGAGGGCCACAATGGGTTCTTAAACTGGACCGGAGGGCCGGAACAAAAGCATGGATGGAGTGTTTGTGTGAACTAATATAAATTCAAAGTAAACATCATTACATAAAAGGGTACGGTCTTTTTGTTTGTTTGTTTGTTTTTTAGTTTTATTCATTTCAAACGGGCCGGATCCGGCCCGCGGGCCATAGTTTGCCCACGGCTGGGCTAGATGGTTCAGCAAAGGAAAGGAGAGGGTGGAGTGGGTGGGTCAGGCTCAGGGAAGAGAGCATCCACCATCTTTGAAAGAAGCACAAAAG